TTATTATATTTTTTATTTAATCACTTCATTTATATCCCAGCTTTCCCCACAATGGCGGGCCACGGTAGCTTACATAATTCTCCTTTCCCCCATGGGGTGTGACTTTCTCACATGTGGCCCGTTGCAGCTTCAAACGTCTCCTCAAATGGTGCTCTGGGGGAATTTTGGGCTACAGAACAGGGGAATGTTAGAAGTCACCCTCCAAGTGCAGAAATCCTTCTGTCTGAACAAATGCTCCAGAGGATCCAAGCCTATATGTAATATAAAACTGAAAATTGATTTTCTGGTCCTGTTGTCAAAACAAAATAGTGGAAGAAATCTATTCATCCTTTTCACCTGCTTGATTACTATAAAGGTCATGTTCTAGGTATGTATGTGCCGTCAAGTCGCAACTGACTTATGGCAACCCCAGCAAGGGGCTTTCAAGACAAACAAGAACCAGAGGTGGTTCTCCATTGCCTTCCTCTGCAGAGCCTTCCTTGGTAGTCTTCCATCCAAGTACCCGGTCATCTTCTAACCTATTATTTTTAATTGTTTTCCTTCTTTAGGAATATAATTCATGGCAGTGACTCTGCAGAAGCTGCTGAGACAGAAATTAACCTATGGTTTGCTCCTGAAGAAGTGATTGACTACAGAAGCTGTGAGCACCCATGGATCTATGAGTAAAACTGATGAGTCACTTGCTTATCCCTTCATCCCATTGAATGTTGACCTTGAACATTCCTACCTCTATTATTCTTGGTTGCACATTTATGAAAATATTCTTTGTGTGATTTAAAGTATATGTGCAATCACAATTTTTATTCTGTCTGAAAGAAAATGCTTTATATATAATATCTGCATTTGGTGTAAATCACTGCAAATTCAAGAATTATTGAATGCAAGACTGAACTGTAACAGATATTGGCAAAGTTCAGGTTTGATTTTGCATTGAACGGATATGCAGTTTTGCTTTGCAATTAATGCTTCTGCAGATGCTTATTCATTTTTTCTTCTGTCACCTTATAATTTCTTCTTTGTGCCACTGGAAAGCAGGATTAATATAGCAGTTTATGTATTGTGCTTAGATGAGAAAAGGAGATTAATGAGACAGCTGTTCAGTAATCTCTTCCCCCGTCCTTTATTTCTGTCACTCTATTTGATACTGAAAACATGTGAATTATAGAATTGCTTCTTCATACAGTTGAGCTATTTCATTTCTTTACTACATGTTCATACATGTTTCCTTCTCTTAATTACTAAACTTTAAAACATGACACATAATTCAGACATCATGCCAAAGTTAGTTAAGAAAGCTGAACTGTGGTTTTCCGTGGTATATCTAAACTAACAGACTAGAGTTTGTAATTAGTTGACAAGCCAAAATCAGAAATCCTGGTTTGCAAAACATGGATATATAAAATGTTCAGATTAATAAATCATAGTTACTCTTGTGGCCTCTGGAGGCCATACACCTGGAGACTGGAGTGCTGAGCAGAAAGAAAATAAAATCAGACAAGCAGTTTTAAATCACAATTTGCTTGGACGCTGGAAGCTTAACTATGATTGTATTCTAAACTATGCTTAGCACAAACCATGGTTTGACAATGATAACCAAGCTCAATCTCCAATGTTTGCTTTACAAACACTGGAATTATGCTATTCAGTTCTGGGCTTAGAATACTTACCATTCAGTATTATAAACTAGGATAGCAAATGTTTTATTTGGTTCACTGTCTTTATTACAGAATCTATAGCAAGGCTATCAACAAACTAAATATTTTAGCAAATATTCAGTGCAGTCCTGAGGGTTGCGGAGGCAGCCAGCACACCAGTAATGCCACTGGCCAGGAACTAGACAAATGTCATGGCAGCAGGGCTTCAGGGGCGGTGAATATACTGGCATCTCCACCAACACTGCCAGTTGAGCCCATAGGATGTCACAGCATAGCTGTGACAGATGGAGGAGGGGAACCAACCAACCACAGGGTGGCAGCCATGGGGATCCAGCCCTTGGGGCATGCGAGCAGAAGCATGGGGAGAGGTAGACCCAAGCACAGCTGGAACACATCTGACCCCCTTAAAGGCACAAGCCCCTGCCACACAGAATGGAGGCAGCAGAACAAGAAAAGGGGGAAGGGGGCCACACTACTGAACACATCAGGAGCAAATCTGTCAAGGACCCAAGAATGGGTCCACCTGAGCCACTACCCTTGGGCAAGCAGACAGTGCTCAGAGATGTGGGTTCTTAAGCCTGTCTGTACACAAGAAACCAGACCTTGGTAAAATATATGAAGGTTTATTAAATGTTTTAAAGAATAAGATATTATTAGGCAACACAATCTCTACAATCCTGCAGCAAGAAAATAACAAAGCTAACCTCTATCTAATACTTAAACTCCTGGTACTAGATGGCACACCTCTTAAATATCAAAGTCCAAGCAGTAGGCTCAAGTGTTTTCTATGTAGCTATTGCAACAGAGCCTGTCATACTCAGAGCCGCTCTTGAATCCCAAAGTTAGCATGGCTTCCCTCTTTATGCCTTAGATATAGTCTTTTGCCATTTGGTGTCAGGTGGTCCTTCACATCCAATCAGGGTACTCGTTTGCTGGAACCCTCTAGAACAGGGGTGTCAAACATATGGTCCATGGGCCGGATCCAGCCCCTGCAGGGCTCGTATCTTGCCCATGAGCAACTGGCTCCCTCCTGCTTCCTTCTCTGGGGCTGCTGCTGCATTGTAGCTTCCTTTTGTCCATCTCCCTCTGCTGCTTTCTGTTTCCTTCCAAGCCTCCCTTCCCTCCATTGGCTGAGGGCTCCTCCTTTGGGAGGAAGGGAGGGGGCGGCAAAGAGCGTGAGAAAACTGTGCCCAGGAGAGAGAGCAAAGTCTGAGTCCCGTGGCTCCTTTAAGACCAGCAATGTTTTATTTCAGGTATAAGCTTTCATATACTTCTTCAGAAGAAGGGTGGAAGGGAGAGACAGGGAGGGAGGGTGGGTAGATTCTTCTGACAAGCACAATTTACATTGAGATCACTGTGCTCTGCTGTTTTCTTTGAGACTTGATATCTCTCTCTCACTCACACACACACACAAATGCACAGGTGTGTGTGTGTTAAAAGGAAGGGGCAGGTTGTGATAAGGGGAAAGGAGAATTAAAAAGAAATTATTTCGGATTATTCTGGGGGGGGAAATTAGATTAGATTTCTCTGTGCCTATCTGGGATTTCATTTTCTTTCAAAAAGACCCTGATCAGGAATTAGAACATTTGGATTGGCTTCCATTGTTTAATAATCCAATTCCATTGGATTCCATTGTTTAATAATGGAAGTAGATGTCTAAGTATTTAAAATACATTTAAGGTTCCATATGTTCCAATTCTGCACATCTCTCTTTCTCCCCTCCCACCTCGCTGGCTGCCTTTCTTCACTCTCCCTTTGCTTTTTCAACTATTTCATTATCATCACCATCATTTGAGTGGATTTTACACAGTCTAAAATCAACACATTATTTCACTTGGAGAGATTCCCCTCTCCAGTTTAAGCAGATGAAGAAAAAGAAGAAACCTACCAGTATAGCTTGCAAGCTTTATTAGTGGAAAGGAGCAAGAGTCCAGTAGCACCTAACAAAATATGTGGCAGGGCATTAGGTTTTGTGACTCACTGCTCACTTCTTCAGATACAGCTAGAATGTGAGTCCATTGATCCTTGTATCTCGAAGAGTGGAGTGATTTCAGATGCCAGATGGCAAGAGAAGGCATTTCAGATGCCAGATGGCAAGAGCAGGAAACCTAGGCTTCAATTTCACCCTGGAGGACGCATTGAGCTTCATTATCAGTTACAATTCAGCAGTCTCTCTCTCTAATCTCACTTTGAAATTCCTTTGTAAGAGAGCTGCTACTCTTAGGTCAGCAGTATCCTGGAGGGTTAAATGTTCCCCCATTGTTTTTTGAATGTTGTGGTTTTTAATGTCAGAGTTATGTCCATTTATTCTTTGCATCCTCCTGGACGGAATTCTCCTGGACCAAACTGAGACCTAGGTTTCCTGTCTCATTACCAATGCTGGTGTCTCCATGCCTACTACCCCTCTGCATATCACACCTAATCCAATCAAGCCTGCTGTTGTCATTCACCTGCTATTGCCACTTGGCATCTGAAATTACCTTTATAAAGTTTGTATCTCCGGTACCTTGTGTTACATTTTATGGTACACATGGTCCAGCTCAACAAAGTGACATTTATATTAGATCCAGCCCTCATAACAAATGAGTTTGACTCCTCTGCTCTAGAACATGACATCGCTCCTGTCTCCACTCTTCCATCTGGCTAGAAAGTTGAACACAGATTCCCATTTTTAGCCAATTACCACATTCCTGAATCTGGCCTTGAAAGAGATAAGGATGGTATAGGCCGAGAGGCCCAATAATAGACTCCTGCAAGTCAAAGTAGGCCCACTAATATTCACATTCACTCATGGGAAGAAATCAGGGTGCTTTGCCTCACAAAATTCCAAGCATGTTCACTCAGAAGTTGGTCCCATGTGGAGCAATGGGACAACCCCCAGGAAAATGGCACAGGTAGAGCAAAAGGAACACAGAGCCAGCCACAGGTGCCTGGTGGTCACTGGTTACTCCCACCACCGTGGCCACCATGCTCTGGGTGGCCCCCTCCACTGCCACTGGTGGAAGGGGGGGCAGAATGTAGACCATGGATCACTGCTACAAGTCTGCAAGAAACCCTTCAATGTATGCCTGCTGCCCCTCCATGTCCTTAGTGACACCCATCAGCCATTCAAGGTGCCCAGCACCCAACAGCTCTGCATTGGCCTTCCCATTTAGCAATTCACCTGCAGGGGAAAGCAGGACTCAGAAAGCAACAAGCAGCAAGTGGGGGAACTTCCACCCCCCCTAGGGTACACCATAGTTTTAAAGCCATATACCCACCATACAGGACCTCAATGCTATGGCCCCCAGCCCATACAGCAGCATCTTCGCCACCCCAGTCCAGTTAGGCTGGCAGAGGGCATCACTGCCTGCAGGACCCAGCACAGCCATGCCAAAATGCTGCAGGGGAATGCAAAAGTGAGGCTAGACACCATGGGAACCACTGGACTCTGAAATGCATCCCTGTCCCGTTGCCTACCAGATGGACACAGGGCACCTCTGGGACACAAAGCCCACAGCAGTAGATGATAGAGCTTTGCATTCAAGGGGGCACTGACTGCAGGCCCCAAGGTGCAGGGAGGACCTCCAACACTGGACAGCCCAAACTTGGATGGTTACTCTTAGGATTGCGCTGCCCATCCCTGATAGATCTAGGAATCCAATCTGGATGGTTGTTACCTGAATCGAATGAGGTCTCTCTGTGTGAAGTGCTGTCAAGTGCCTTTTGACTTATGGTGACACTATGAATCATATTTAATCATTTATATTTAAAAAGTCCTATTGTTAACAGACTTGCTCAAGTCTTGCAAACTGAGGGCCACGGCTTCATTGATAGAGTCAATCTATCTCATGCCGGGTCTTCCTCTTTTCCTGCCGCCTTCAACTTTTCCTAGCATTATTGTCCTTTCCTGTTGGCCCTGGCTAGTATTTGGATGGGAGATCACCAAGGAATACCAGGGCCTTGATGCGGAGGCAAGCAATGGCAAACTCTCTGAATGTTTCTTGCCTTGAAAGCTCTATGGGGGTCACCATAAGTCAGCTGTGACTTGACGGCACTTTCTACCATCACATGGTCTTTTCCAGTCTCTTGTCTTTTCATAACGTGACCAAAGTACGATAGCCTCAGTTTAGTCATTTTAGCTTCTAGGGAAAGTTCAAGCGTGGTTTGCTCTAGAACCTACTTATTTGTCTTTTTGGCAGTCCACCGTATCGTAAAGCTCTCCTCCAACACAACATGGTGTGTGGGAGGGACTTAAGCCCCCTCTCCTCACTTGCAGTGATCCCAGTCTGAATTGGGCTCCTGAACACCCCAGGAGTTAAGTATCTGCAGAGTTGTCACTACAGGCCTGGTTGGACAACAGGACCAAGAGCCCTGGACGCATAAAATAAGCAGTATATCATGTAGTTGGGCCCTCATGAGACAAACTGTTGAGAGCCAGGAGTGTTAGTTTTCTGCAGCCAAAATAACAAAAAAAATCTTATGTATACACACACAGAAACAGAAGAAAGGTCAGGCAGGAGCTCTGGCTGACAAAAAGCTATGCCTCAATACATTTGTTAGTCTTTGAGAACCAGTTTTGGTGTAGTGGATAAGTGCACAGACTCTAATCTGAGAGAACCGGGTTTGGTTCCCCGCTCCTCCACTTGCAGCTGCTAGCAAGCCATAGTTCTGTCAGAACTGTCCTTCAAAGGGCAGCTCTCTCAGAGCTCTCTCAGCCCCACCTACCTCACAGGGTGTCTGTTGTGGGGAGGGGAAGGGAAAGGAGTTTGTAAGCCGCTCTGAGACTCCAAGTGAAGGGCGGGGTATCAATCCAATCTCTTTTTCTTCTTCTTCAAGGTGGCACAAGAGTCTGCACCATTAATTAAGAAGGAACATTGCATAGGATGTTAGCCTTCTTATTTCTCTCAGTGCAATTTTTTCCCCCATGACAGTTAAATACCCTCCCGCTCGGCGATCCCTCGAAAGGCTCGGTTCTTTGCGCCACTCAGGTTAAGTAGCAGAGCCTTCCTTCCAGTCCTTGACGGAAAAAAAAAGAAAAAGGCGCGTTTATCTTTCAAAGAAGGATTCAGTTTCTTCCAGCGGTCCACGCAGACGGCACCACCCTTCCTCAAAGCCGCAGGCCAGGAGGGAGGTCTATGAGGAAGACCGCCTTTTTGTCGGGCTGACGTGGGGTTCCATCTCCGGCCGGCATTGCTCCGCCTCTTCCCCCGGACGATTTCAGGGAGACTGCAGCCACACAGCCTCGCTCCCCAGGTCAGACAAGAGCCGATACACCCGAGGTAAGCGGTGTGTTCTATTTCCTTCTTTTTCTCTTGCGGTGAGGGATGAAGTAAAATACATGAAGGGAAAAAAGACAGGGGGGTGAACAAGGAAGCTGGTAAGCAGCTGGGCAGAAGAAACGCCGGAAACCGGCCCGTGTGGGTCCTATCTAGGGAGTCCCTTTCTAAAAAAAAGGTGTATAGCAGTCGGGTGGCCACAGGGGCGCGCGTGTAAATGGACCTTGTGCACCTCCCCCGCTTTAGACAGATGCAGGGTGAGGATCCTCTGTCTTTTCTTCTCCCTCGTTGCCGCCACGTGGGCGAGTAGCCTAGGTAGATCGTAGTCGAAGCAGCAGTCTAAGGAAGGGGGGTTGAACGAAGGACTTCTCTGGAGGGTGCATTTGGGTTAGGGAGCTCTAGTGGGCGTCAAGCCAAGGGCTGCTGCTCCCATTTCCAGTTAAAGGCCTGTATTCTAAAATGTGCTGTTTCTTCTCTTCTTCCGCCCCTCATATCAACCTGGCCTAACCTTCTACAGAATAAGTTTCCCCGTAGCCTGGTACCAAATTCTATGGAGATTTATATATGACACGATCTCTAACTCTACGCGGCAGAATTGTTCTCTAGCAACGAGTCCAATTCCAAGACTCCGCCCGTGAGTTTTAGAGGTCGGGCAGAAACTCCAAGGTGGAAGCAAAACTCCACCTTGTTGAACGCAATTTGTTGCAAAACTCCACCTTGTCGAACGTAATTTGTTGAACGCAAATTAAGAGCACGGATCAGGGCTGTGATTTTCTTCACGTGTTGATTCATCATATTTAATTTGGAAAGTACCTTTTAAAAGTGGACATTCCATCTCTTTGGTAAGGAAAGCGTTGAGTTTTAAGGCTTGTTTTTGAAAAACGAATGTAGAAAAATATGTGTTTAAGCCTGTGTTTTATTGGTGGTGAAGCAGTTTCCTTGATCAACAGAAGCGTGGGGAACACAAGCTGTTGAATGAAATGGTGAAATTCTGAGATGGTGGAGTAGGTGGGGATTGCTATTTTTGTGTGCACTTCCATGTAAAAGGCTCCCTGGCTGCAAAACACCACATCAGAAAGAAGTATTCTAGCCTAGCATGCTGCTTGCCCTGCTGGTTTTATACTTGGCAATGAGCCTTTTATGTAGGTGAACATAGACAAAATATGATCCCCGATCTGTGGTGTAAAGTGGTGCCACCTATTCTGTTACCTGCTCATCTCATGTCACACTGATGATGAAGAAATATATAGTACATTCATATACATGCTCATGTGGTTGGCTTCTGGCCTGCTTTTCCTGAATTATGAATTGGTGTCCTTGGTTTGGTGATTTACCTTCTGTGGTGATGTTCTGAATATGGGAATTATTACAGTACTGGCCTATTGTGCTGTCTGTCCCCACTGTTATTGCTCTGCATCTGTCTTGCAGTATTATGGCTTCCAACACAGAACGCACCTTCATTGCCATCAAGCCTGATGGAGTCCAGCGGGGATTAGTAGGAGAAATCATCAAACGCTTTGAACAGAAGGGCTTCCGACTGGTGGCTATGAAATTTATGCATGTAAGGTTCATCCTTCCTTTGACTAGTAGCATATGGATAAGTAGCCCTTTATCAGTGTGGGGGAACCTGCCAGTGGGTACGTGTTATGAATTCAACCATGAGGTTGCTATTTGTCATTACAGGTTTGAGGATTTCCATGGACAGGATTCCTGTCTGTGAAATGTGACATTCACCCCTCCCCTCTCACAGTGCAGCCCAAAAATGCCTCCTGAAATGCTGCTCCCGGGGAAAACAGATGACCCCCCCCCCGGAATAGCTGGGGGAGTTGGTGAAAATCACCCCCCACACACACACACAATCTGCAGATATCCTGTGTAGAATTCAAGCTGACACACATGTGTGTGCGTATAAACATGTGAGATAAAGGATAGAAACAGCAGTGGCAGCTTGAGGAAGGAGGTTTGTGTATGTATTTGACATTACTGCAGTAGCTTGAAAACTCCCACTACATGTTTTTCTCATGTTTCCAAACAATTGGAAGTATTAGCCCATTCATATTGCACATTGTTTTGGCGGTGGGGAGGTGTCACCTGTAAAACAAACCGAAACACTTTTGACCAAGGGACACACTGATCCACAGGGTTTTTTTCCTCTTTGTACTTCTACTTATATAAAACCCAGAAAGCTAAACATGCCTGTGCATCTAGTGCACTTTATGTAGCTTCCATAAATCTAAGGTCAAGGTTATAATGTGAGGGAATGGGGTAGTAGAATGGTCTGCACCACTTAATACTTGCAGGTATTTTTTGGACCACTTCCCTATCTTGAGAAACTTCCTGCACATAGAAAGCCACCACAGCAAGGAAAGAAAAAGGGTAGAATGTCTATCCCTACTATTGTAGTTCTTTA